AACTTAGTAGCTCATAAGTTAAAAAAAAATCTCTGTTTGTCTGATGTCTAGAATCTAACGATCTATCTTAGCTTCCTAAGTGTCATGGTAAGTTATCATCTGCACAAGAATAATAAACTTGCAGACAATCAAATAAAAGTAACTTGACATTTATTCGAACGTTTATTGGTACAATTAAAATAATATACTGTACAAAAACTGGAGAACAAATACACAGCATGCCTACACCGATAGCAATTAACAGTTTTGACTATTCAGTCAGTTAAACTGTTAGAAATCTTTGCGTAACTTATAATTCTACTGAGCCTCAGAAACAGGCTGTGTGAATCAAAACTGACTGACAGAGCAGGAACATTCTTCCAATAAAGACGAGCATTTTGGCCAAGAATAACTAATCTTGTTTAGGTTTTAGAATAAATAACAACGATATTGGAACGACGATATCTTTACAATTGGGGGGGTCGAAAACCGAACACTTGCAAAGATACAGTTACCTTTAACTGAAAAGCTATTACCGAATCTTGGCGCTAAAATTATCAACGTAAATCAGTTTCTGTCTCCAGACCCAATGATATTTTTTTTATCTTTGCTAGGAAATAGTCGGTTTAGTGGCACCTGCGAACAAGAGACTAACGCACAATTCGAAAAGCGGGTATAGTTGCGCACAAGAAACATCTATGGTGAGACTGGTAATAGTAGTTTGCATAGTTTAGCGTCAGTTAAGCGTCAGTTAAGCCCAAAACTATATCTTCTTGATTATCTTTCGATAACTTAATAAAATAATATACTGTACAAAAACTGGAGAACAAATACACAGCATGCCTACAACCGATAGCAATTAACAGTTTTGACTATTCAGTCAGTTAAACTGTTAGAAATCTTGCGTAACTTATAATTCTACTGAGCCTCAGAAACAGGCTGTGTGAATCAAAACTGACTGACAGAGCAGGAACATTCTTCCAATAAAGACGAGCATTTTGACTTCTATCATTAATTTGCTTCACAAAACGTTAAGCTACTGGACTGCACAAGTACAAATTTCAGTAAAATCTTTATGCTATGTATGCATTACATTTTAAAGAATGATAAATACCTTTGTGGGGTTTTATCTATTTAGTTTTAACTAATAGTTAATTTTATGTTCGATTACTTTTCTGTCTCTCTCTTTTCACCCACGTTTTTCAAGCCAGAATGTAAATGAGATAGCGAGCGTTTAATCAGATTGAGGCAGAAAAAAGTGCTATTTAAGCGAAGGTTACGCAAGTTATATTTAGAGCGAGTTTTACCTACTTCAAGCCACGTTATATCGTGACCTATTAACTATTTGATTCTGTGGCGTTGAGTGCTTCCAGATATTAAGCTTGTTTCGCCGGTTTTCTACAAACCAGAGCCTTTCCTGCTCGTTACTTTATCATGTGAGCCGTTAGACTAATCTATTACATTTGTTTTTAGTTCAACATTACGTATTTAAGTTTAGCCAGAAGTGTTGGCTTTTGTAAACCCCATCTGGGTCATTGTTATTTCTTTTTGTTTAAATAAAAGGGTCCTACAGACCCTTCTTCTGACTTTGTGTTCTTGTATTCACAAAACTAGAAGATAGTTCTTCTAGAGTCCTTTTAAACTCTATACTGCATGCTTCGTAAGAAAACCAGACTTTTTAAGAAGTCAGGTACCTTTATAATATCAAAATATCCCATAAGTACAACACATTTTAAATCTAAAATATCTTGTAGGCTTATTTCTATGTATTTCATAATGTATTTGCTATCTTTATTTTTTATTCCAAATATTAAAGTATAAAGTTTGATTCCAAATATTTGAATAAATACCTTTTTTATCACCGACATAATCGATTATTTTTTAACATAATTAGTAATAATTTCTAAACATTTTAGGCCACAGGCATAAATAACTGCTTACTCTAAAGCCGCTTATAGCTTAAACAATTCGTGAAACGTTTTTGAAATTCTGACCGATGGTTTCGGAGAAATCTTGCACGCAAGCAAGAAAATTCTAGTTATGTGATATCTTAACGTTAAGATATAATTACCTTCAAATCATGTAAATGCGTATTATTTTCTTAATAAAGAAATTTAAAAATGTACTTATAAGTTAAAGTTTGCAAGTATGCTTAATTTTATATTTAAACAATATTGCAAACATACTTGTAGAGGTTATAAATTGCCTTTAGATGTTTCAGTATATGAGGAGGCAGCTTCTCACCATACAAAGAATGCAACTTTTGATCATATGCAAAGGTTATAGAACATCCCCAACTGCGGGACTGCAAGTGCCGGCGGGTATATCTCCACTGGACCTTCTAGTGGAGAGAGAATCATTATTAGTAAGGACATTGCGCCTAGAAAAGAACGTCTCTCTGTGGCAAAAGACATTCTACAACACAGACTATGAGAAGCGCAAACCGATCATGCTTGGACACCCTGCAGATACAGATTTATCGCACACAATACACATGCAATACACCCCGTCAAATGAGAAGGCAATAGCTATTTATACAAATGGCTCAAAGACGGAGAAAGGCACAGGCTGCGCCTACTGTGTACTCCAAGAAGGGAGAAGTGGTTAAAACTTGGCAAAGACGACTAGCAGACAAAAATACCGTATTTCAGGCAGAACTTCTTGCATTAAAAGTAGCCATCAATTTGGTAAAATATCAATTAGGAATAACGGTCAACATATATAGCGACTCTGCCTCAAGTTTGGAGTCCATCCGAGGGCACAAGACAAGGAGTCCTTTGGTGCAAGATATTCAGAAAATTCTGCTAAGTATCCCACCAGATGTCAGACCTATCCTGATCTGGGTTCCAGCTCATGTTGGTATTACTTGCAACGAAGTGGCGGACGTGCTAGCGAAATCTGCAGCCAATGACTCCAGTAGATTGGAAAACGTAATAAGTGTTCCGCAGTCCTATTTAAAAAAAATCACGCTGAATAGCCTTTCACAAGAATGGCAGAAAAGATGGGAAAGGGAATGCACAGGGAGGAGAACCTACAAGTTCTTTCCAAAAGTTACATGCTCAGTTAATGCATACAACTGAGCACAAATTCAATTCTACACTGGCCATGGTCCCTTCCCACATTATCTTAAGAGATTCGGCAAACGAGCATCAGAATTGTGTGAATGTGGTGCGGTAGGTTATGCAGATCACTTCCTCTTCAACTGCCTACAAACCGATAAACTGCATTTAAAAATGCCAAGTAGTGAATACTGGCCGCAATGGGCGAAGAATATCTAAGGCAACAAGCAGTCGAAAACTAATATAGAGAAGGTAATCAGGCTATGTTCAGAAAAGTACTAAGAAATTCTCCCTCTCCCTTGAGAACTGTATCTTCGCAGCATAATTTTAATAGCAATTCAAAATACTACAACAACTGAAAATCAACACTAGAAAAATAGCTCACCTTGTAGAATAGTAACAGGACTGTAAGAGCAAAACTATTGTAATGTGAGCACATTACTATTCAGTTTGTATGTACTTGATAAAAATAATATTGTAAAGCAATTTAAATGATATTGAAAATCCAGTCAATGTGTAAATGAATTACAAGTTTACTTTGATTATCTCAATATAAGTATTGTAAATATGAATTCAGATAATGTTTAAATGTACACATAGCTGTCATGATTTTATGTAATTATCATATGTAACTTGTACAAGACAATGTTTGTAATCAACATATCTATGCTTATACACAGGCCTTGTATGCCCATGTAATATTTATATTTATATTTTTACACGGAGGAAATATTCTCTTCTGCCAGGATGACTATTAACACTGTAAAACTTTTACAACAAAGTCAGGTCAGTGGTTATCTCAGGCGGCGCTCAGTAAGAGCAAATTCATTTTACATAAATGTTATCAAAAGAACTCTGAAGAAAAAGTAATAATACATGAGAAACACTCGGAGGAAGACCAGACACTACTTAAGAAAAGCCATATCAATAAATCATAAGGCTCATTCATTGCTTCTGACATAGTGCGGAAGTGGCACTTGCTGTGCATAATTGGTTACACCTGTTAAAAAATTTCATGTTCCCTCAGGGATAATGTGCGCAAATACCACTTTTGTGGATCTATTATGTGCTGTATGTGTCACATCACCAGTAAGTCAGCTGAGCAGATATTAACAAATTTCTATTTGAAGAACTTAGTACGTACTTTTCTTGCTGAGATACTGTCCTATTGTGACACCGCTTAAATATCAATTAGCTTTGCCTAGTTATGAAGTGGGGTCGAAGAAGAAACAAACGGTAATAGAATTTTAACTAGCTAGCTGAAAAAGAAATCAGAAAGTTGAAGAAGAAAAAAAAGTAGTAAAGAACCTCAGAAATTTTAGTGAAGTGTATTTTCATATTTAAATAAAAAAAATCATATGTGACCAGCATAAGTCCTTCTGCCAATTCCATGTTTTGAATAGCAACGAGGTTTAAGTAAACTTCCGATTGATTGTTTTGAAACAAGACTTAATTTGTTGTTTCGGATAAATAGAAAGGTCTGTAATATGATATTCTGGATTATATTTTATTAGGTGTAATTGGGTATATGTAAAAACTGGTTTTCCTAAATTTGTACCAAATAATTAAATGTTTGTCACTTTATTTTTTTATGAAAAAATGCATTTTATTAGGTGGTTAAATAATGTATAACTGAATTGGTTTTTAATTAAAGGAAATTAAGTGTTCATAATAATGCTTATTTTAAGGGATCGTGGACCTGGAGTAAATGATTATAACTCTCGATGAAGAATCAAAGTACAATTTATTCCCCAGTTTTACAAAGGACAGTTCCAAAGACACGTTTATAGTCGTCAAAAAACTGCGATAAACACGCTGAAACAATCAGCAACACAGCTATTAGGAGATAGTATTTTATACTTATTTATTTCCTAACATAAACATGAAGTATAGAACAAGCAAAAGACATTTATGAATACAAAAACGTAAGTGATGCCATTCACAAAAAGGGTAATGTTATTTTTAATAGTTCGCTGGCTTTGCCGCAACATCCTCCCCACCCTGGTCAACCTCCAGGGGGATGACCAGCTGCACAGGTCGGGTAATGGTATGTCCATTGGTGCGCAGAACACAAGTACGGACTTTCTTGTCGCGGCCAAGGATTAGCTCCTCAACACGGGCCTTTTTCCAGGTGTGGCGAGGTCTAACATCTTCTTGTAGTAGGACAATGTCCCCTTTCCGTATTTTATTTGTTTCAGATGGATTCCGCACTTGATGAAATGTACGCAAGTCCATCAAATATTCCTTTTGCCATCTTTTCCAAAAGGAGTCCATCAAATGTTGACTATTCTTCCACATACGATTTAAATTTGTTTCAGGATTTGTGGGGCTGGAAGGAATAGTAGTTAATTTCTTTCCCATGAGGAAGTGCGAGGGTGTTAAAGCTTCCTAAAGCTTCCTCAGAGTCATCTTTTATTCCGTATTCGTGGACAATCGGTCTACTGTTAAGAGCGGCTTCAATATCACATAATACAGTGATCAAACCAGCGTCATCCAAAAGAGCCTTACCTAATGTTTTCCGAAGGCATCGCTTAATTGAGCCTATCATTCTTTCCCACCATCCTCCCCACCAAGCCGCTCGGGGGGCGATGAATTTCCATTTGATTTGATTTGATGTTGTGGGCATAAAACTGTTGTGCCTTGGCAGAGGATATAGTATCCCACAATAATTTTGTCCGCATCGCAGAAAGCTGTGGTATTATCAGTGTACACTGTATGAGGAAGTGAACGTCTAGACACAAAACGTTGTAATGCAAGTAGGAAGAGACGTCAGTACGCAGATCGGAAACTAATTCTAAGTGGATAGCTCGAGTTGTAGCACATGTGAAGATGACAATGTAAGCTTTTGTAACGGAGTTATTATTTTTTACTTAGAGTGGTCCAGCAAAATCAATTCCGGTAGTTTCGAAAGGAGATGACTTTTGAATTCGCTCAGCTGGTAATGGAGCTCCTATCTGTTCACTTCTCTTTAGTTTCAGTACTTTACATGGAAGTCTTAAAGGCAAGTCTTTATCACCTTTTTAATGGCTTGTCTTGCTCTTAATATCCAATATTCTGAACGAAGCTGAGAAAGTACAATCCGAACACAGAGATGATGCATTCGTAAATGTGTTTGGCGTATCAGTAGACTTGTAAAATAATGAGAACCTTCCAATAATATGGGATGTTTTTCAGCATGAGATAAATCAGAAAATTATAGTCGACCACCAAGAAGTATAATATTGTTCTTGAAAAAGGGTTAATTAAATTGTTTTATCCTTGATTTCTTAGGGAGTGATTTTTCCTGTCAACAGAGCTTCATATTCTGAAGGAAAGGATTCTTTCTGAACGGTCTGTATCCAATAAATACGAGCTTGATTCAGTTCTGTGGCATGTAACTCACCCACTAACTTTTCTTGTTTCCTACAGTTGTGAATAAAGCGAAGAATCCAAGATGTGACACGTAACAATCGAACGTAAGAACTGTAGTTTCCAGGCTTTATGATTGGTTGAGTAGATACGATGTGCAGGGTCTGAATTTTTTCTTTCTTTGCCTCGAAGTTATGACTGTAATGTTTAGAAATAGTATCAGAATGAGGCCAATATTCTAGAGATTTGACTAACCATGGAGGGCCGTTCCACCAAATTTCCACGTTTTTTAGTGTTGATGTCAGCCATTTTTACTTCCTTGTGCGAAGGAAAAAGGAAGTATTGTAATCGCGAAAAGCTTCAGGCAGCATATTTCAACGAAAATATCCATTTTGACCGCTTTCGAATGCAATTTAATGATGTTTTTGCGTGATATCTGTACGTAAGGACAGAATAAAAGACTCTTTTTCTCTAAAAAAATTAAAAAACTGCTTTAAATGAATTCTGAAGAAAATTTTTCGTGGCGTCTGTACGAACGTATGTACGTACGTATCTCTCATAACTCAAAAACGAGTAGCCTCAGAATGTTGAAATTTTGTATATAGGACTACTATAACATGTAGATGCGCGCCTCGTATTTTGGTTTCAATCGGCCGCGCCAAACGTATATAAATAAATTATTATTAACTTACATTGCAGCAATTGCGCAAGTAGTAAAATAACTCGATTTCGCACTAAGTAAATTTAAGGTCATACAATATATTTATAAATATAACCACTCTGTTACCCGGCTCAGTGATCTCAGTTTCTTAACTCTTATATATTTGTAAATTGTACATTTTTGCTTTAAAAATTATTGTATTATGTTGTTTTTATCTTCCGGTTAAGGCTTTTATGCCTTTAGTAAATTTGTATGCAATATTTCTAGAATTATCAACAATTTTAAAGTTGTCTAAGTGCCGCTAAGCCTAATAATTTTTTTGATGGCGGCCATTGCTTGTTTACATTTGAAACAGCAGAGTAGTGAATTTGTTGCCAATCTAGAGAAACGTAGCTTCGCAACAAAAAAGATAAACGCCTTCATTTCTTACTGCGATTTAAATCATGCTTAATCCTTTCTGGAATTTTTTCGAGGAAATAAGTGTTTAAGATTTACTTAATTTCTAATCATTTAATTTTTAATAATTAGTAATTTTTAATACAGATATTTTGAGTTTTTATGTATTTTTGCTTTGTCGCGAAGTGAGAACTGAATTAATTGAAAGAGAAATACTCAATCGTCTGTGAAAAACTGTTTCTTTTATGTTTTGTTTGCTTAATTTCTTTTATACATCGTTCTAGCTTTATTATAGTATTTGAATAGAACGTGGCAACGATTCGATAATTCTTTAAATGATATAAATTTTTTGTGCATTCTGAGTTATAATATGAACGAAATATAATACTGTTAAGTGAACCTAGCACCAGAGTGTCGCTATGGTAAACAAATAGAGTGAATTTTAAAGAATGCATTTATTCTATTGTGGTTTATACGCTGTCGGCGAAGTAGATTTAATTGAATCCAATAAGTTTAAACGAAATGCAAGAAAAAATGCGTATAATTTAATATTCCGTACAAGGAAGCCATGTGGTGTACACATCAGATTTTTATAAATATGAACCGATAGATATTTAACAAGCAAAACAGAGTGAAAAAAATAGTGACAATCATTCAGTATTCGTTGAAATATAAATATATATTTCTTTTTCTGTAGGTATGAACTGATATCAATGAATTTCTCAAATATATAGAACTGTTAAAAAAAACACTAAATGTTTATGAAAAGGGGGGGGCAATTACGTAACTAATTACTGACATTTTTCCCCTTTTATCTAAACTCAAAGTTTCTTTTTTGTGGAAAGGCAGTTTTTCCTCGCATTTTATTCGTTGCAAAATAATAAAGTGATACGAACCATCTGGTGATTTAGCTAATTAACAATGATGGTCATAAATATGCAACGGGATGCTAATTAGCTATTTATTAAGAAAATAAAAATAGAGTTCCTTGCTGATTTAGTCTACTCAATAAACATCTCTCGTCATTTTTAATGACGAGAGCTGATCGTGATTCTCACACTTATAATCAGACGTGCAAAAGTCCATCTCAACAGCAAGAACAATAGGAAGAAAATTAACTTCTAGCGAGTATATTTTATTGAATCCCTAGCCGTTTTGAGACATTGAATTGTATGATGAAATCTCCGAAATGATAGTAAAGGCGAATCAACAAACAATAAATTAGAAGCGTATATTTGTAAAGCAATAAATTAGGAGCGTATATTTGTAATTAGCGTGATTTAATTCAATAAGAGATAAAATCAACAATTCAAGTAAATAAGTAACCATTGTTAAAAAAAATATGAATTGCTGACAAATTAATGTTTACGGAATTTCAGTCTCTTCTCTTACATAATTGTATTCCTTTATTTATCTTTAGGAAAGTACTTTCTTTATTTTCTTTCGTTTCTGTCATTCCACTAAATACTTATCATATACTTAACTCCTTTAAGTCGACCCTCCACGGTTCCAGGTGATTTTTTCTGTTGTACAAATCGTCGTCATAGAGCATTGATTTGGTCTGGTGTTTCAAAGCACTCGATAGCTATTTGCCTAAGTGAGGTATGCCTTCGTGGAGGATTGCTTGTGGAAACTAGCTCGTATACATGTTGCACATGAGGAAAACCACGAAAACGCCCATGCAGCCAGCCCGTTCGGCAGGATTCGAACCCCATAGCGAACTATCATACCGCTCAGCCGCTAGTGAGCCCGTCTTAGAGAAAATAACTATATCGATGGTAACGGTTATTGATTTGCATAGAGGATTTAGCCTTAAACAATACTTTTGGTGTTTCTTAGAGAAATAAAAAATTATTGAAGGGCAAATATATCAGTTTTTTAACACTGTTATTTTAATAAAATTACGAAGTAAATATGGAATTAAGTAGCAAACCACAACAACTACAGCAATCAAAAGTGGTGGGGGGGGAAATAAAAAAAATAAAAAAAATAACTGAAATCTAAAACTTAACACATAACGAGAATTTCCATTAATTTTTTTTTAATTTAAAAAGTCTATTAATATATATATTTAAATTACGAATGATTCTGTACTAGGTGGCATAACATAAGGCGTTACAAATAACTTTTTCGTGTTTTTATTAAACATATCAAAGTTGCATAATCATAAAATTTATCAGTTGGATATGTCATAAATAAAATGTATTTATATATATATATCAGTTAAATACATTATTGAAAAAAAAGTAAAGATTTAAATTAATAAGAACACATTATTAATTAATATGGTCATTGTCCTTTTGGCATTATCTTGTGACCAGTAATCATAATTATAAATTGAGATGATGGAGATTTTCTCTGAGACTTTTCTGAAAGTGGGTAGCTGAGTAGCTGAGTAACACCCAGTTCTGGAAATTTGTTGTTCCGAATATACGAGGGCCATCCAGGAAGTAGATTACGTTTCCGTCTGTGTCCGCTAGGGGCGGGGCTAGCGCGGCCATCTTGGGGTCAGAGCGTTGCGCAGCTCAGTCTGCATCTAGCCGTGCTAGTGAGAGGTTCGTGCTGTGCTCCGTTCAGATACTGTGACGGTTTGAAATGTCTGCGTTAATTGAAAATCCCGCGAGCTGCGAGGTGCGCTCAGTAATAAGGTTTCTGACTGCAAAAAAACTGTAAACCGATAGAAATCTATCGGCAGCTTCGTGAAGTGTATGGGGACAACATTATCACTGAAGGTGGAGTGCGTCAGTGGGTCATAAGATTTCAAAATGGCCGAACCAATGTTCACGACGAAGATCGAAGTGGGAGACCCAGCATAGTGACCGCCGAACTTCTCGAAAAAGTCGATGCTAAAGTCCGTGAAAATCGAAATTTCACAATAACGGAACTTTCTTTGAGTTTTTTCCACAAATTTCGCGAAGTTTGTTGCACGAAATCATCAGCGAAAAGCTTGGTTACC